CCCCAAAACCCCAAAACCCCAAAACCCCTAACTTTACTGAAGAGATTGAAACTCAGACTGAAATTAACCTAAACTCCAGCTTCTTGAATAAAGTCTTCAATAGGAACTTGGCTTAAGTCTTCCAGTACACATTCGATCATTTTCTGGATGAATTGGTCGTTATAGTTTAAGAAATTAGCCTTGTTGTAGTAATTCATTGCCGTCCTGAAATCTTGTTTGAGATGGTAAGTGAATCCAATAGCTCCAAAAGTGTCTGCATTTTCTTGGTCAATGTGTAAGCACTTCTCATAATACATAATAGCCTCATCATACCTCTTGAGTTTTCTTTGGCAATGTCCAAAATTCATGAGGATAGCCTCAAAATTCTTGCTGTTTTTATCTTCTGCAAGGGTATATGCGGTAAAGAATGATTGTTCAGCTTGATCGTATTTCTTTTCTCTAAAAAGCACTATTCCTTTTTCATTATGAAGGAAAGCATCATTATCATAAATTTTTAAGGCTTGATTAAACGATATCAAGGCAATAGGTGAATTTCCAAGCCTAAAATACTCCATTCCAATGCATTGGTTTGCCTGATGGCAGCCTGGAAAGAGCCTTGCTGTCGTTCTATATACTGACATTGCTAGATCAGCTTCTTCATTGAGTGCATAACTATGTCCTAAAGCTATCCAGCTTGGGGCAAAGTATTGATCTATTTTGCTTGATTTATTTGAAATATTGTCTTGATACATCATACTTTTTGATCAAGTAGTAATAAGCCCCAACTGCATACCAAGAGATAGCAGATCCAGAACTTGAACAAACTAAGTTATGAGCAAGCATGTATAGCTCAGAAACTTTTCGTAATTCTGTCATAATAGCAATATAGAGAGGAATTGCACTGAAGAAGTACAGATCTTCATCAAATATAGCCTTTAGAATTTCATAAGCCTCTGATGGATTCCTCTTGTGATACAATTTCTCTGCTTCAAGCAGCATCATATAACTGTTGTTATTTTGCTTGAGTATTTCAAGAATGGGTGGATGATTCTCTTCTTGTGATTTGAGGTTACTGAGATCTTTCCATTCCCTATCACTAATATTTTCATGATCTTGAGAACTTGCTGGCACAATAAAAGTTAAATGTTGGTTCTTCGGGTTTTCCTCGTTAGGCTCATCACTAAAATGCTCGGTATTACTTATTTTAATTCAAGGTTCATCCTGGCTAAGTGCAACCTTTCCTTCTAAAACTTGGCCAACCTCCCCGTAGATTCGTAAAATATAGTAATCACTGAGCCAAAGATTATCTTCAGTGAAATTTACATCAGCAAGGAAGTACTTCTTCTCTTCCTGAGTAAGTAAGTAGTTTCCAAAAAGGCGATCGAATGCTTCAAAGTTCTCTGGGTTCCACTCAAGAGCTTTCTTATAACTCTCAATCACATGAAAGTTTTTCTCCTGAGTTTCGAGAGCCTTGCCAAGGAGAAGATGTCTGAAACTTTGGTAATATTTCTGACCATCTGGATAGTCCTCATTAGGATCTTTATTCATTTCCTTAATCCCAATCTGAAGAACTTCGATTCAATCTTCGATTTTATTAGAATCAAGCATGGCTTGAGCAGCAAGGATTTGTCATTTCTCAGTAAATACACTATATGGATGCTTCTTGTTGAGAGAGCACCCATGCTTTTCAATCAGTTGGATTCATCTTGAATATTGTCTATCCAAGTAACAAATATTAGCAAGGTCATAAATTGCCTCCTTGTAGCAGTCAGACCCATCGATAGATAATGAGATTAACTTATCAGCATAGAAAATGGCATTGACATAATTTTTATGAGTGATAGCCTGATTCACCGAGTTTTTCAACTTATCAAGCAACTGATGGTCAGTCAGCTTCTTCACAAAATTTCAGTGAGAATAATTCTGAGAGTAACTCTATAAACATGAAATGTCAGAGTCTTACATTAACCATTTCAAATGGATTTGGTGAAGCATTCGCTGGAGGATCCTTATTCATACTTTTCAATGCTCAGGTATCACTAAAAGATTGTTTCAATTTTAAAACAACTTTTAGGGGTTTTGGGGTTTTGGGGTTTTGGGG